TTAATGAATAGAGGGATTTGTTCTAATGGTGTTTGTAAATAGGATATCATGTCCGCATCTTGTACAGCAATTAACCACTAGGAAGAATGTATACAATGTGTTAATTATTGAAACTGTCCTACCAATTTTGTTTGAAACTATCTCATTGCTATTTGTTTCTCAATAAAATTATGGGAAAAAGAGATATGCTTCCAAGTCATATAAGATATATATTTTAGGGCAGCTGGGGGGAGTTGTAAATAGACAAATTAGAGACGAAACAATGTGAATGACCAGTGGCCTAAATCTCAGCTCTGGTACTAGCAGAAACTGCTAACTGCAGTGAGCTGGGCCACCACGGGATCACACGGGGAGAGGCTGACACGACTGCTACCCTGGACATAGCTAGGGAGACTGCAAGAACAGGTTCTCTCCCATGTATTGCTGCAGGGAACCAATTGAGGGTCCCTCCCTGGAGAGCAAAGCAGGAGTAAATGTTGAAAATTTTAAAGTTTTACCTACACTTTGACCAGCATCTCCAGTTTTGCCAACATCTCATAAAACATCGCAGAAGTGAAAGCCTGTGTCTACAAAATATATGTATTTTCTGAAGATAAAAAACAATCCAAGGAGAATAAGAAGTTTTTATACATGTCAGTAATAATAAAAATTATTAGCCCAAAATAAGTTCAGTATTTCTGTAGGGTAACTTCGGGCTCTGCACCTCTTAGGTGAGTGTCCCTAAACTGCCTCAAAATTTTTGCGCAGACAACAATTTAAGATGCTTGTAGTGATGAGCTGCAGGCAATTTGGATAACCGTTTGGAAGAAACCTCTATTGGACAACACGGGGCCAACTAAAGCCTATTCCAGCACACCCACACAGTGATGTCACAAGTACTTCCTGCCAGGGAGATGTTAGTTGTGTACTGCGGTATGAAAAAGTCAAGTTAAAAAAGAGCCGTACACGTGGTAGTATGGAGATGTTTTAACTTTTTAATGCAATGCAGATCTGTACTAGGAAAAGACTGGGAAATCAACACAATAAAATGTTAATGTGGCTGTCATGATGTGGACAATATTGGGAGGCTTGGCTTTGAATTTCATTTTGTCACTGTGTCAACAACCCATGTTAAGTGTATGTTGCTTTTGCAATTAAAAATACTTTGTAATGCTAACAACAATGACGTCTTCTGTCATAACATGGAGCTAAATCTCCTTAGCTAGGAATCGAAGGTCCCACCCTCTGCCTCAGCTTCAGGCACCTTGAGCCACAGAACCAGGAGCATTCTGGCCCCATTCTGGGCTAGCCTCCCACCTACTGCCCCATCTGCTAGGCATGGTGCCCCACTTCATTTTCCCTTGGGCACAGCTGCCTGCGAGCCTGGCTTCACCACCTCCTCCACAGCACTTCTCCCAGTTGCCTCGACAGCAAGTCCAGCACAACTCCTGCATCCAGTCTCTGTGGCCTCTGTCCCCCTCAGGGCCACCATCTGAAGCAGCAGCACCTGGCACAGCTGAGGTGCCTGGTGAATTTGCTTGGAGGAACAAGTGGATAAGTCACTGAAGGGAGGCAATGCTCTACAGGCCTTCATATTTCCATGATTTCTGGCTGCAGTGATGTCTCCTGTTCCTCCAGGACTTTCTAAATTGCAGACCAAGTGAAAAGCCCTCGGGCCAAGGAGATGGCTCAGTGGAATAAGTGCTTCCCTGGCAAATGCAAGGGCCTGAGTTCAATCCCCGGTTCCACCAAAAAAAAAAGAAAGAAAGAAAGAAAGAAAGAAAGAAAGAAAGAAAGAAAGAAAGAAAGAAAGAAAGAGTTTCTAAAAAAAAATGGAAAAAAAAAAGAAAAGCCCTCTTGATGGGTCATCACGTTTTAGGTCTCACAACAGGAGGAATCGAGGCTGAAACATCTTAATGTCTGTCCCTCCTCGTAGTTAAGTCATAGATCCATCAAATTGCAGGCAGGACTGGAGGCACAGTGCTTCTAAGGTCCATGAGTAGGCATGTGACAAGAGGGGGAGATGACAGCATCACCCCCACACAGACGAACACACACCACCACCACCGCCACTGCCACTGCCACTGTCACCAACAACAACAATTAAAACATTGTTGCCACCACTGCCTCCAGCCCTGGCCCAGGCCTTGGGAAGGAGACTGTGCTGGCAGGAGAAGAAACGTGGATGGTGAGCACTGGCCAGGGACTTTGAGAGGACTTTGGGAGGAAGCGAGTGTCCAAGTGAAAGGGGACAAGGGCATTTCTAGAGCACAATGCCAGGCTGGAGGTAGCGCTCCTCACCACACTGCAGGCCAGCTGCCTGGGAGGACAAAGGACACCCAGAGATCGCTGGATCCTGCCCTTGCCCACCTCGTGACCCAACCTCTTGCTGCTTCCCTGCCACAGCTTTGAAACTGCCCTAATGAGAAGAAAAGATAACGCTTAAAGATGTACCAGGCATTTTTTTTTATAATGGGCACAGGTAGCAGAGACCCTATGCCCACCCCTAGTGTCACAGTTTGGGGTTTTGCAAGGAGCACAACACAGTGCAGGACACATACTTCATAAGATTATTTATAACAGTCACCCAAAGAATCATGTACAAGAAGCACCTGAACTCTGTCCACACACTAAAGATTGAAGACTCCAGCGGAGGGTCTGGATCTCATGGTAATGTCCTACTGAGTCCAGCTGAGGACCTACAGCCCCAAATGATGCCTCCTATGGGTCCAACTGGAGGCCTGTGGTCTGTGATAATGTCTCATGCCGGCCTGCTTCATAGATCTGCACTGGGAAGGCTCCAAGGTCAGTGCCAGCAGGCTGAGGGACCTGACCTGGAGCCAGGAAGCAGTGCTCAAGGTAAGCCCCAGAGCTCCCCCAAAAGTACCACAGCCATCCTCAGCAGCAGTGAGGTCCTGAGCCTCTCCAGCGATGAGGAAACCTGAGTTTCAATCATGAAAACCAATGCAACAATCTTTTCCAGAAGAACGATTTGTGTACCATCTTCCCCTCCAGAGCCAGGAAACTCAAAGAGAGAACCAAAGCTCCCTCAAAGTGACCTACACCCATTCTCAACAACAAGGTCCTGAGCTCCTCCAGCGACAAGAACAACCAAGTTGACCAGGACAGCCAGCACGACAAGGTCCTGCAGCAGAATAGCCCAAGAGAACCAGCAGCTTCTCCAAACAGCTTCCCTAACAGCCTCGCAGCAGCTTTTCCATTTCTGCCCCTTACACTGCTGGCAACCACCCTCAGGTGGGCCTGCCAAAGCCAGCACCATGCTAGGTCCATTCAGCTGGGGCTGGCCAGCGGAGCGCCATTTGGCAACCCATCACATCTAGCTATGGAGGCTTCATCTGCATATGGGTCATGGACTACGAGCCTCCAGGAGCACAGGGAGCCCGAGGCCAGGCAGGCGGGCAAGGGGAGCAGCGGCTGGGAGCACCTGTGCGACCCTGAGCCATCTCATGGCCCTCTCTGACCATCGGTTTGCACACCCTCCGCAGGGAGGGTGACGGTACCTACATCTGCTGATCGGTGAACACATGAGATAAACCGTAAGGGGCCACTGAGCACATCTCAGGACAAGTGAAGGTTCTGCTCACAGCTCCGGACTGCTAGGCAGTTGCACCAACATATCCTACAATTCTTTGCCAACGCAACTGGCAGCAGTGCGTCCTTTTCCCCGCATCATGCTGTTTGCCATGTCCTGTGCGTGTCTCTTGTTGCCTACCGATACGCGGATGGAGAACGTCAGGACACCGTGAAGGCTGACGAAGAACCCAAGCTCCGAAAGGGACCCATCCACTTCCCGCTATTTTTAGTTTACTGTTGTTGCAAATGATGCTACAGCAAGACACTCTGCGTCTTACTGTGAAGTCTGACTGATGCCATGAGAACAAGGACCCTGACGTGTTCAGCATGCTGCTGTGGCCCTAAAGTAAGGTGACACGGGCCTGGAGACCACAGGGCACCAGTCCTGCAGCCTGGTCCGCAGCACAGTAACATTATTGCATGCCCCCTGATCCCCAACAGATCAGGAATATTTGCAAATTAGGACTGTTCCTGAGGCATCAATTCCCACAAGGCCTTTCTGGCAAGGGCATCTGTTCTTGTGGAGCACCAGTAACCCTGGGTCCATCGGGTTCCACAAGGCCAGTCAGTTCTCGCGAGACAGTCAGTTCTCGCCAGTCAGACAGTTCTCGCCAGCCAGTCAGGTCTCGCGAGCCGGTCAGTTCTCGCGAGCCGGTCAGTTTTCGCCAGCCAGTCAGTTCTCGCTAGCCTCTCGCCAGCCAGTCAGTTCTCAGTCTCTCCATTCCCGCGCTTCGGCAAATGCCCGCGAGGCCATCAGTTCTCGCGAGAGCCTGCGAGGCGGCCGAGCGCCCTGCGCAGGGCGGCGTGCACCTCGCGGTTGCGCAGGCAGTAGACCACCGGGCTGCAGGCGGGCGTGAGCACCGTGTAGAGGAGCGACAGCGCCTTGCTGAGGTCGGCGGGGTGGCCCGGGCCCGGGCGGGAGTCCACGGAGAGTGCCGCGGCGTAGAAGACGCCCATGACGGCCAGGTGCGAGGCGCAGGCGGCCAGGGCCCTGCGCGCCGCGGAGGCCGAGGGCAGGCGCAGCAGCGC